CAACTATGATTTTTCAGTAACCAGATGTTCTCTGCTGTTCTTATTAAAATGTGTTGTTTAATTTTAAACAAATGTTTTAAATTAGCTTAATGGTAATGCTCTAGGGGAAATGAATTTCTAGAATAATTTTTCAGGCACTGGACAATACAAATGCTGGCCTACATTTTTTGAAAGGATGAGAGATTTCAAGTGCCCTTAGTATTTAATACCTAAAATTAGATGACATGGAATAGTTACTTGATGAAAATATGGTTCATTTAAAGAGGATTAAATTGCACATAAAAATTATCCACCCCTTTAGAAAATTTAGATTGTTTTTAAAAAAAATTAGAAATCCTGCTTTTATCTTACAGTTTGCTCTTATATTGGTGACCATAAGACTTTTTTTTTTTTTTTTTTTTTTAATAGTAGAATCTTTACTCTAAAATTCTATATGCAATTAAGACTTTGGAAGATCAAGACTTTCCTTTGCCTTTGTCAGGCAGAATTAAAGGTATCAGCAGCATCTAGGAACACTGGGACATGTGCAAAGAGATACCAAGTAATTGCAGCTCAGGCTGTAGAGACCTGCTTGTACATGGGGTTTAAGTTTCAAACATTAAAGCAGCTGGGCTTGGACCAACCAGACAGAGGAGGGTGGAGGATGTGAAATAAATTCTGGAGTGATGAAATTACTTTGGACAACTTAATGAAAAAAAATGCTCAGATCCCACTGAGCCATTAAATGATTGATTTCCGCATGGAAGCACCCATCTCCTCTGACAAGCCTTTGACAAAACTGTTCCTTTATGTTCATGTGGAATGGTTCTTGACCAAAAGATTAAAAAGACTGAGGGCAGAAAGGGACAGAATGGGTTATGAGCCCAATACAGAGGAAAAAATATGTTGAAAAAAGATGACTGCAGTCCTTGTGCATTCATTAAACATAAAGGTAGCATTTGCAGATGTTTGGATTGCTTAATACTCAGGCTAAATTGATGGTAAATGATTGGCAAAAGGAGCACAAATACTTTATGATCTTCCAATATATAATTTAACATTTTCTTTTGACAGTGGTCTTTAAGTCCTGATATGTCAAGAAGGTTAATAGCAAAACATCAAAACTAATTTCCCCAAGATCACCAAACAACTACCTCTTGCTAATTTGGAGCTCTGAGGTCCTGTGAAACCAGAATGGTCAGGATCAGATCGGAAGCGGCATCACAAAGAGCCTGAATTAAGTTGTTGACTCAGCCAAGCTACCAAAGCGATTGTGGCTGAACTTGTAGGAGTCCTGCAGACCTTGGCATCCGTGATAACTGTTGTAACAGTCAACTTTTGCTGTGTGCAAAAGATGAATTTAAAATGTTAATGCTTTAAATGCCATGTCACTTTAATTATTTTTGGAGCTAAGTCTCCTCAGGTATAGTCTTTTCTAAAATATGGAAAGAATGTGCTAATATCCTTACAGCCGTAGTCATAGTCCGGTTCCTTCCTCTGCTGCTTTTTGTTTCATTCATGATTTCTGAAGTCTATAATACTCTAAATATTTCTAAAATGAGCTGTAATGACTCCAAAGAGAAAAGTTAGACTTCTGTTTTCTTTAAATCCTTAGAGATATATTATCTAAATCCTTTCCCTAATTCTATCAGATTACATTATTTCCCTCCAGACACATTGTATAGTCCACCTCTAAGGCTCTCCGGTTATTGCCAAGGCAAGCTAGTTCACACCAGTAAAAATCTGTTTTCCAAGGGCCAGTGTTCGGAGCTAGCTGTTGATCGCGCTACTGGCAAAGGACAAGAGTGACAAATTTTGTGTTTTCTCTAGGAAGCGAAGATCTCCTTGCTTCCTACCGAGACCCTTCACAGGGGTAAGACCAGTTGCCTGTTAATGCTCTCCCTGGCTGGGCAGAAGCAGAGGGGAGTGCAGCATCGGCTCCGCTTGCTGGGGAGAAGAGCAGGGCCAGGACTGCAGAGCTGGGAGCTGGTAAGTCCTTGCTGGTTTAAGCCAACAGTAACTTTTTGCTTGGGAGCAGACAAAAATGGGAAGACTTAACTCAGTATTAGTGTTCTTAGGGCATACACTGTAATGAGAATGTAGAAACTAACTCTAAACATTGGAATATGTATACTTTAAGGCTAATTAAAATGAAATCCTAAATCAGGAAGCTCTCATTCCACACACCACAGGCTCTAGCTGGGTTTTGCCGCACACTACCAAATTGTCTCCACTTCTGAAGTAATTGTGCCAAGAAAGGAAAGAGCACAGTAGTACCCATTGTACAGGTCCACTGCTTTCATTCAGTTCCTGTGGATTCAATGGCAGAATTAATTGCAAAATAAAATGCATGTAATTGGATTAATTAACAGTACATTCCAAGGTCCTGAAATACAGAATTAGCCGTGGGGTAGATGCACAACGCAGGTTTTTCCTGCGAACTATATATTTTTGAGCTATATCTGTATCCCAACAAGGTATGCCTTGCTTAAAAGGCTGCTAGGATAAGAAATGGGGCTTTGAAGGGGGAAGATAAATACTATAATTAGGGCTGCAGGACAACAAAAGGATTATGCTTAAATATAAAATCATTTGAGTGAAGTTGCTTGAAAGATAATTATACCTAAAACTGCTTGCATGGGGTCTAGTATTTTCTTTACAAGGACTTACAAGACTCATTGAATATTTATGGACCTGGAACATACAACTGGATGAAATTTAAAACATAAATTCAATTACAATTTATTATGATGAAGTTCCCTAGCAGTTGTTGCCCCAACCTTTTAGCCTTAATAGCCAGGCTTCATGTTGCAGAACACGAGCCCACGTGATAAATGATATCAAAGCTGAATGCCCTTGATTGATGAACGCTGCCTCATTTGATGACTGTAAAACAGTCCTGAGGGCTGATCTCACCACTAGTGTGGTTGCTTGCTTTTTTTTTTTTTTTTTTCCCCTTAATGCATATATTGCAGAGGGGTTGTTTGTGCTTCTGGTATGGTTATCACATGCAAATGAGCATGCTGTTTCCCAGATGCAGATTTCATATTTATAGATTAAATACAGCCTGAAAAATCATATGTTAATTACATTCTGAGGGTGTAGCAGAATTTCTCACTTGCACATGTTTTGTTTTACTGGAAACAGTGCGAATTCCAGATCAACGTATTTAGTTGCTTGAAGCGTGGCAATAAATGTATCACGCTTCAGAAAAAGCTTTCTCATTATTACTAATCAATTACCATTAGCTCAATGCTTAGACTTCTATCCCAGATTATGTATTTGTTTATTTGTTTTAATAATCTGTACATCTCAGAAGACAAGCCATACTATAGGAAGGCAGGGTGGGGGAATGGCTAAGGACCAAATCCAAACAAGCAGATTACCAGAGAGACACTGGCAGAAGAGATCTGCGAGAAGGTGTTTTGAGAGGAACAGGACTCCCTGCAGTCAGCTTAGTTCACTATAAATGGTCTTTTCTTTTTCTATTATTGCTTACAAAGGTCCCATACCACATACGTCATGCTGAAAATCCATGTTGTAGGGGTTCCTCCTTTAGTATACAGTTTGCTGTGGCCCAAAGAGACACTGCAATCCCATGGGAAGCCTCAGTACTCACTGGTAACGGAGATGTCCAAAGAAACGTGGCTCCTGAGACAGCAGGAAAAACCCAACAGGCTGATCCTGTTGTAGATTTAGAAACTGTTCAGTGGTAGATGTTGGCTGGTGGCTTTTAAACTGAGAACTAGCGCAGATGTACTTACATCCCAGCATGGTCAAAGGACACGCCAGAAATATTTAGGAAAAATGTGCTCAAAAGGGAATGTAGCAATTCTTGGATTTCAAATCAGGCCAGTTTTGCCCTTGAGGATTGTGTTATCGAAGTCAATGCTGAACAGAAGCCCATTACAATAAAAGGGGGGAAAATTTTGGAGAGGTCAATATATGACATTCAAATTACTTTCTTGTTTACTATCCCAACAGTTGCAAAACATCAAAAATAAAGAGGAAAGCTTAAAATACACAGTGAACTTCTTTATTACAAAGAAAAGTCTGACCAAAACAGCCAGACAAGTAAACATAAAACATCTCACTGGTTCTCATGGAGACAGGATCAAGCCTATACAAAGTGAATAGTTTCGTAATAACAAGTAGTTAAAAATATTACCTTCTTTTTTTTTTCTATAAATGTAAGTCCTTTGATGACCAATTATGGATTCAAAGATACGTCCATACTCACTGGGCTGGCAGGAATGATTAGCATGGACTTCAAGCACACATAAGTCTCACTTTAAAATAGCCTGCTGCAGTATATTACACTATATCCTGAAAGCCACAAATGAGAATGAACAGTACCAAAATACACAGTAAACTGAAAATACCTCCCCCCCGCCCTGCTTCATCCATTTTTACAGCTCTCATAAATCTTTTACTAAATCACAGAGGTACCAAAGAAACCAGCAAACTAAGAGGTAGTTTACATAACAAAGCATCTCTCTCTGCAAGCACGTCTTGCTGCTGTGGGCAGCACTATGTAATTCTGGAATGTGAAGCCATGTACGGCTGTCGGGCGCTGTGTCAACCTTCCTGCTGTAGTCCCAGGACCAAATGCAGCATAGGACTGTTTGGCCATATCAGATTATCTGAAAGCAATTCAGGTTCTTAGAGGGCAGTACAAAACATGCCCTGTGCTCCTCACTTTTCCCAAGCATGAACACTCTGCTTTTTTGGCCCCCTGATCATTATGCAGTCAATAGTTATGTTGACCTTTCAGTCTTAAGAAAACTTTCATCTCAGTAATTTTATACTCTGTTTATACAACTAATCTTGGCCTTAGGAATACATATGTGCATGTCACATGTACCTCAATACATTCAGATTGGTATCGGAAAGAAAACTGCTACTGCAGTTGGTTAGGATGTAGCATGTTCAGAACAGTTGATGTAAGCTCTATGTAGTGAACTGCTCCGCTGTGTTCAAGAAATCCTCCTTCCTTTGCGGCCTTACAACAACAAAAATTTTGTGTCTGCTCAAGGAGTGTATTTCTCCTATGTGATCTTACAAAATGATGCTGGTCTGCGATGAATTGGTACACTAGAGACAGTGTGCTGAATTAGATAAATTTGATAGTTTGAAGCAGCAGGCAACTTCTATGATGTTGGTATGTTTGAATAGAGTAATAACTCTTATTATTAAGAATGTCTTTCTATCTCTTCTAAAAAGAAGCCCAAATCTAATTACATATCCATCATTAAAGTGCTTTACATAGACTGTTGGGTATCAACTGGAGTCTTGCAATTCACTGGAGTCTTAGGACAAGATTCTGATAGGCTTTTCTTTCACTTTCCCATGAATGATGTTTTTTCACATGGTCTTTGGCCTTTGTTACAATTTCTCTTTCCATAATGGGGTCATTCATCAAACTCTTGGATAGCACAACAAACTCCTAAAACAGATAAAGAAAATAATAAATTAAAAGTTCCTTGAAGGTCTAATGATACTGAAATAGCTTGTACTCCTATCTTGATTTTGGTAAAGCACATCAACTGTGAACCAATATATGAAGCTGTTCAAAGTCATTTGTCAAGGTCAAGTACCATAGTTCATTTATAAACAATGATCAGTAAGTAATTATTTTATATATTATTTTATACAGCCCACCAACTAAGACATTTAAAATCAAAGACAATCCCAAGAGCTTTAAGACAAACAGGAGTAACAATTTTAATGACAGAAAAATTGTTTGCTTACCCAAGTGTTAGAAAACCAGGCTGGCTATAAATTAATAACTCACCTGGTCTTCTGCATGGAGGACAACTGGCATCAGATATTTGGTATCAGCTCAGCTAAACTTGTATCTCATTGCTATTGTGAAATCTTTAGTTAATTTTATGGTAAGACTAAAAAACTCACTACATACATATAGTCGCAGTATAAAGATAAGAGCAAGCATGCAGCAACAAGCTCTTCCAGAGTAGTTGCATCTGGGCAGTTACAGATACAGCAGTGTTAGCTCAACAAGCTCTGCAAAAAAAGCCATATATAAATTTTCTTTAACTTTACTGGGCAACATACTAGACCTCATAGATTACAACTATTCCTTTGCCTGCTCCTCTGCCACTCTAATTTAGTTCTAGGGGAGAGAAACTGTAAACTTCAAATGTGAAAAGAGATTTGACGTCTGAACTAATCTATTCTGAGCAGCTGGTCTAATTTTCTATCAAGAGACAACTTCCAATACTTCAGCTTGTTTACAAATGTGCTCAGATCTTTGCAAAATAGTGTCTTGGTTCAGCTCAGAAAAGCAGATAGCTATTATGTCAATGAAAAATTAAGATAATGCATTACTACACCATTGGTAGTGAAGAACATTGCATAGGGACGTGGGGGACAAAAAGGATGGGAGAAGGAGATATATTATTTACACAGTCTGTCAGCTGTGAAAGGAAGTATCACAAATAAGACCAGAGTTCATATCAACACTAGGTTAACTAGCAAACTATACTTGAAAACCTAAGAACACAGTATATATAAATACATATACAGATATAAAATGTTTGGTTACCACAGAATCAATGTTGCTGTTGTAATGCAAGTGATAGCTATGCATAATACATAAATATAACGTGACCAAGGGAAACACTGATACGTGAAATCACATTGAACATGTTATAATCACTGCTTTGACTCTCACTGACAAGATAAACTATCAATATATGCATCACTGCCCTGAAATTTAAATAGTCAGAGATGCACATCAGTTCTGTTGGAAAGGTTTGTAACTAGGTAACAGAATCAGCTGATTTGCATACATGCATATTAACAATAACCTCTTATTTTACATAAAATCAGTATCGCTTTCAATCTTTCCTCTGTCCACACAGCACTGAAAGAGCGGCCTCTGGAACAGCCACGAGGGCCACATGTTTGTATCCAACCTGCTTTCCACCCACAACTATCTTGCAGTCGGGTACGTGCCAATTTAATTAGTGTATTCAGTTCCCTACTTGGAACCCATGTGGTCCAAAGAGGGTGTTTTCTGACCGCTTGTGAGACTGTCCCTAAAGGAGACAGGTGAGGCTGGTCTAGAGAGCACCCTGAGGCTGCGTCTGTCAGACACTGTGGATACAGCCAGTGACTCCAACTTGAGACACGTTCTTTTCCTTCCTCCGTATCTGCCAAGAATTCGGAAGAGGGAAGGTGGGAAAGTCTTACATGACTTATGCTGGCTTCATCCAATTGCCTGTATAATCACAGTAATAAATACTGCTCACACTGAACTACATTCCAACTTTAATTTTATGCTCCTGTGGAGGATTTTATTTAAAGTAATGTTTCAAAATAATTTATGTAAATTACCTAAGAACAGAAGCAGCAATGTAACATTTCTTGACAGGTAGTCCTATTAGCATTCTTTTAAAATGTGGATATAGAGGACAAAAACTTGGAAACATGTAAATGATAGAAGAAATGAGATCCTTATTCACAGTTACAATACTTTATGCTGGGGGTAATTTCAGGAAAATGCCAAACTGAGTCCAAAACATAGAAGTTGAGACACTGCAGGAGAGAGAAAAAGCAAATGGAAAAATACCAGGAGACAGAGAGTAAGGACTTCTCAGCTTTATCCCTACTTCTTCTACTAATCAAATGTGACCACCTACGAGTCACTTGCAATCTGACTGGAAGCCAATGGGAAGATTCACTATGACTTATCTGGGTTTTGCCTCATACCCTTTGAGCAGCGGGCCTAGCTTTGTTTTCAGTTTTGGATGCTCTGCTTTAGATAGCAGTAACTTCATTTTTCAGGTGTCTCCCTTAACTACAACTGACTTGCATTTCAGTTTTAGTTTTGTGGTGAGTCTGAAGCATAGGCTGCCACTTACAGAATGCAGACATTCAGAACTCAGAGCTCTTTCAGAAAATCAAGAATTTAATTTTTCTTTTCTAGAAGCCTATGATATATAGACTACTTATGGTATGGTAACATGTCTCTTTATGAGCCGTTACACTGTAAGTATTTGTGCAAGTGATATTTGCACAAATATTTGTGCACTTCCATATTTTGTTGTAGATGTGAAGTAAGCTTCACTTCCAGTGAAATAGGGGCTAAATTCACAAATTATTTTTCAATTATCAAACACAAGGGTGTTCAGCAGCCAAAATGAAGGAGGTGATATGCACACTAACTTACTACTTGGAGGACATCCGTATTTCTAATAAGCTTTTTTTTCACATACAGAAATGGGTATAATTACTATACATGTGACAGAACAACACGGTGTAACAGTTGAGCCTCAGTACTTAGTCACAACCCAGAAAAAACAGTGGAGAAGATCATCTTACGTATATCTGGAATTGATATTACATGTGCCCTTTTTATGTGTAGTACTTCACTTCAAACACAGGCATTTTTCAGCAGCAACATCCATAATACATTTTTCTCCTGGTAAACTGACCAATCACCTTTAAAGAAAATGTCAACTTCTCTATACAGTACCTAAAAAAATTCTGTATAGTATTTTGCAGAGACCAGAAATACAGATTATCTGGGAGATGAAGATAGGAAATGAGTGCACTGAGTAAAAAGAATGAATATTCCTTCAATTACCACGAGAACTACACCAGTGCCACAGCTCACACATAATGAAAATAAGATGCATGGTTAATATATTATTTATATAATGAAAGTAAGTCTGCAATTAAACCATTTCATATCAGCTTCAGCAGATAAAAGAACATGATTCTTAAACAACAGAGAATCACCCCAGGGAAGGCAAACGCCGGATGTAAATTCAGAAAAGCGACAGATCTACCTACCGGCAGGCAAAGCTCAGAAGTTAGCTGGCACATCTGTGTACTTCACGGGGCAACAGGCCACTATTTCTACATATGAACAGTATGAACAGCGATTGCTGGCACTGCCAAAAATTGCAAATTAGTCTATTCAGTGTGAAGGTTCAAAGGTCTAAAAACTTGGGCTATATTCTGGCTTGAAGCCCTGGCAGAAATGGCAGAGGAGCCATGTTTGGCAGAGGAGACCAAGGTACCTTCAAGGTATTGCTGCCTGTACTCAGCTGAGCAGCGTTTCCTTCTTATCACTTCAAAAGTTGTCTCTGCTAACAGTACTCTTCCCAGGTCCCGCGCTCTCTCAAACTCTGTTTATGCTTAGCCCCTCTCTTACTGGCTTTGAAGTTTATTTAGCTCCTTCTGTGAGCTTTTACAGATGCTGAACATACTATTTTGAAACTTAGGATCCTGAATAACTCTTTGTGTCTTCCCTTTTAACATGGTTTTGTGTTATTTATTGCCCAAAAGCTGCTGGCTATTCTTATCTCTCACTTCTTTTTTTATTTCAGGTCCCATTAACTCAGTGTCAAATATTTCATAAACTTGCAAATTCAAGTAGTGGCAGGATGAAACTGTAATTTAAAAGTAATGTGCACAGATGATGTAGTATCAAGGACAAAACGTTTCATAGCTTTCACTTTTACATTAACTGTTTCCACCTGAGTATTGTCTTCAGTAACGGGCAAGGCCTTCTCTACTTCCAGTCACGAAGCCTCAGCACATGTGCAAATGGTTAATGATAACTACAATTACACACAAAACTTCCTACTTTCCTGTAAGCCACAAAAACTCATTTTCAGCAAGAATAAAAGAAGAAAACCAACAGCATTCACAACTTAAAACGATTCTGATTGATTGTGTAATGGTCAATTTATATCCCTCTAATTTAGCTTTCAAAAGACAAGATAGTCCACAGACCAAACACAATTGCTCATATCTAAGTTAACCGTATTGTAAAGCTTTCCCTCCCTAGATCAGTTAACAACTTGAAAATAAGCAATGTTTTCTACTCTTGACCTATGATAGTCTGTATCATCACAATCAGATAGGATCTACTAAACTTAGCAATGAAAATTTCTTTGACATTTTCTAATCTTTGGTGGTCCAGATTCTTCAAGATGGAGACAGACTTTCCCAAGCACCTGAATACAATACCGATCTCTCTGTATGATTAAAAGCATTTTCCCTAACTAACCTGATGCAATTGAGGTTACAGCAGAAAACAGTTTACCAGATACTTAAGATGTCAAAGTAATCACAGTATCAAAACCCAGAAAACTCATTACCAGAACATTTCCCAATCCCTACTGTCAGACTGAATCTTCTAAGGCAGTATTTAAAGTGCCATGGGCAGACTCTTTCTTCTTCCAACAAAGAAAATATGAGGCATACTTTAAAACTGTTAGTGTTCTAACTTAATTGCATTTCTTTGATCTAATATAACTCTCAACCTCTGATAGACTGTGTACAGTGGTTTAAAAACTGTATCTGATATGGTTTGAGGAGACAAGGAACAAGAGTAAAGGGTTACTTTAAAACCATGAGTGATGATGATTGGCATTCTGAGCTCATCTCTGCAAGAAGAAAGTTTTTCAACAACTCTGCAGTGGGATTAGAGTATTATCCTGTAAACAAATATTTTCCTGACCCATTTGCAAACTTTGATAGTTTATACATTATTTGACAGCAATGAAAGTAGAAAAGGGCTTTTATTAAATGAGATACAATCGCTGTTTTACAGGGAAAGCAGGGATATTACTTTCCTTTCTAAGACAGGGTAACTGCACAAACATTAGTGATTCCAGTACAAATATTACCTAGGAGTATGATAGCTAATATGGTAATGCAAGTTACCATCTTCACTTAAAAGAGAGTCTGTGGACTTCTGAGATAGACTAAGAGCAAAAAGAGGGTCAACAAGCAGCAGCAGAATAGGGGTGTTTCTGATCTTTGGTATAGCACGTTGCAGAGAAGGGAGCTCAGACAGAAGGGGTTTATATAAACTAAGATTATAGCATTCTAGACATATTTACAGCCTGTGACTCTAGTTCTGATATAAAAGAAAATCCTTAGCCATTTGTAGAGAGTCACTGATGTCACTGGGACTATATCTGTGCTTAAAATTGCACTTTCCTCTAAGTGAGGAAATACATAACATATTTTTTAATTGATCTTGAATTCCAAATAAACACTTGGAACGTAGGATGCTTGAAGATCACAGAAGAGGCTTCTTACAAGGATATATGATGAAGCTAATTAGGTCTGCTATGAATAATGTATTTGAATTCCAAGCCAAATGTAACCAGCATGTTGAGAGAAACAACAGAATGTATCAGAATTAATATCAGGAAAGCCATCAGTCTGTGTGTTGAACATGATCACACACCCTTGAAGTTTTGAAGAAGCATATGGAAGTCAATGGCCTTTTTTGCAGGGAATACATGTACAAATAATTTTATAAATAGCTTTACATCTTAGTCTCCACTAGCCTGGAAGTACCCCATTTCCAAAGAGTATTGCAAGAAGAGGGAACACTTCCACAATAAAATAAATTCCAGAAGTTAACAAAGAAATTTTTTTTGTAGAAACCATTGGAAACATTGAGTATACCAGGGAAAAAAAAAAAAAAAAACAAAAAACAAAAACCCATGAGCTGCAAGAATTTTTCTATTATAAAACCCTCCAAAACTAACTGAGAGAATTCACCTTCCTGAAACACAACTTAATAGGATGCATTAATCACACACTCCACAAAGTAAATAAATATGATACATTTTCTACTTTGCAAAATTATCAAATGGACTATTCTAGTAAGTTTTTTTAATCCTGAGTTGTATAAAAACACTGAGGGAATCTGTGCCTCAAAGTAATCTTCCATGACATATAGAAATATGTAACAGCAAAGCCATAATGCAGGAAAATATACTGAAATGAAAATTTCCAGCATTTAAATATGGGTAGTGTTCCCTCTCTCCCCACTTTTAGTTATCTTCACAGAAACGCCATTCTAACACTTTACTTAATTTTAGCCATTAATTATTCTCCTACTGAGCAATATCTTGCACCTAATAATGTTTTACATTAAAACTTACTGCTAGAAATTATAGATAAGGTATTATCTAAAACTTCAGGCTCATAGTTCTCTTTTGGTTAGCTACTGCTTGGCTAATATGAGTTCGTATTTCAGTTAGCACTTGAATGGAAATATGACATACGCATAGCAACTCTCCCCGCCTTCGGAACCTTCAAAACTAAAGTGCAACAAGTTGATGGAACAGATGGCAGGCTCTAAAGCAGCACAGGCTAGACAAACATTCAGCAAGGCTGACCCCTAGTAAAAGTTTAGTGAACTGCAAAGTGAACATGAGACAGCAGCAGAGCTTCAAGAAAAGCAGTCTAACACCCAGGTTTTTAGGAGGATCTGAGAAAAACTGCTGAGAGGAAAAGCCAGGATTCCAAACAGATACAAGCATGTGATGTGACAGCATCCTAATCTTTAGAAAGGAAAGGTCTACGGATTTGTTGTTTTCTTACCTGGGGATTTGAAAATAGCAATCCTGTTTCCTTATGTTTTATTATTGCTGCATTCCCAGGAATGTTCCTTGCCAGCACTGGAGTATCTAAATCCATTGCCTAGAGGAATGCAGAAAAAGGAAACAACAGTTTATTAGGATTCAGGGATTTTGAGATGTTAATGGCAACAATTTTAAAATGAAAAACAGAAACAACAAACCAAAATTCTTTCCCATCTCTCCAATTTTTCAGCTGAAAAATACCACATCTAAGGTTATCTCCTATAACGGAACTTCTCTGAAATATTTTGTTCGTCTTGTAACTTTGAACATTCTACCAGAAGCAATCAATCCAGAAAGTCAATGGATAGCTGCTTCATCACTTATTCTTTTCCACCTCAAAGTATGCATTTGTTTCACATTGGAAGCTCCTAACATATGGCAGGCTTGAAGAGGATAAAATTAAAGTTCAGACCAAAGGTTGTCACTGTAACTCCTACTGTTATTGTGCATAGATGAGAAGACTAGTTCACAGCACAAGAAGCCAGTTCTCCCCAACAAAGTATCTGTTCTTTTGTTTCATTAAAAACACATTTTTTCACAGATTTTCTATAATCTGTGCAGAACTGGAGAGACGTGGGCAATTCAATGATGACAGTGAAGGTGACTGTGGAAATCACTTGGCTCCTTCTCCCCAGTTCTGACTCCTATGGGTCATACAGGACTCTGGAAGGAGTTTTTCTTTTGACAGCATCTGTTACTATAGCCTGTCTTGGACTTGGAGCGTTCAGGGACTGCAGGGAAGCATGCAGTGATGCAGTTTCTGACTGAACTATACCAAGGAGAGGAGAGAAAAGCTTGTGCTTTCAGAACACATTATGCTTTCAAAACGTATTATCTACAAAGCTATTGGTATGGGACTCCTCTTAGACCAAGGAATACATCTGAAGAAGTAGGATTTGATTCCACATAAATTATGGGCTAGTTGCTTGATGTATTTATTCATTTATTTCTATGTATATGTATGTGTGCATGTATGTATATACATTAAAAAAAAGGAAAGGAAATGTGGGGTCTCAACATGGTAGTATTTCAGGTTGCCTGCAGAATCATGAGCAGAGACGCAGCACAGCATCCATTCAAAGCCAGTAAACCACTTCCAAGAGACCTAACACCTGGCAACTTTAAAAAATATGGCTTAGATTTTGACATAACTGGTGTGCAAACCCCAGCCACTCAACTCTGTTACTCATGCATATCCTGGTCTGAAACTTTAATTACTGTTGGTGAATTTGGAAGACTTGAAATGCACTGACTGTAAAACCAGAAAATCTCATATTGTACAATTAGCATAGTGTCAAACAAGAGAAAGAAATTCACTCCCCCAGATCTTCAGTCTGTTTCATACTGATTCCCTGTCACTTCAGAGTGAATGCCTTTTTAATTACTATCATTACACTTCCGGATGGGGAGCAATTTTGCTTCAGTCTACATAGCAAGAAAACAAAACTCCCAAGGAGAAAACCATGCTTTTTTATAGTTCGGACAAAACTGAAGACAAAAATACCCTGAGTACCCTGGCGGAGAATGTACAGAACCAATTTTGTTTTTAATAGTGAGGAACTGCTGTGACTTAGCAACATGTCTTAATAGCTTAAAATATCCAAGAGAAACACTGTTTAAATCACCACTGCAGATGAATTTACTTTGGACATAGAAATTCTATAGTCCTTCTGGCATGAACATCTGCTTTGCAGCAGCTAGCTCTAAAAATAATAATAATAATAATCCTTAATGAAATAACCTGTTCTACACTTTGTATCAGAAACGACTGGATCACCTGGAGGTAATTCAGACAAATAGATTAATGAAGTGAACACAAACCAGAATAAATAAATGAGAAATATAAAAACTACAGACCAGATTTCTTAATTTACCTAAGTGTCTAAAGTTGTTCAGATACAGCTTTTTTTAGAATAAAAAAAGGTCATTTTGGTGAGAGGAAATACAGTTTCAGGTCATCCACAAATTGTCATTTGCTCTGACTTCACTGTTAAACACAACAACTCTGTTTTCCAAAGGTAGATGACAAAAACACATGATGACAGTATCTACGTATCAGTACAGCAAAGTTCATAGAACTTCAAAGTCCACCCAAGAAATGAGAGCTATCGGTGCCCCATTCTGCCTGACAGGTTTTGAACCTGCAGGTTGAGGAAGTTGCTTTTGGCTCTAATTACCCAACTATAGACCTAACATGGGGTTCCCACAGAAGCATCAACATCTCCAAGAGTGACAGAATTTCTGATTCAGCTCTTTTTCAGCTCTTCCTGTTGATAGGCTTAAATGCCCTGTGTTCAGTCTGCTGGTTATTGACCTCATTCAAACACATTCAATGAACAGGGAATGAAGATATTTTACTTGAACTTCTGAATTGAAAATCAAGAGCTTGATAGTGGCAGTGAAGTGAGTCAGTGTTCATTGTCACCTGCCTGAGGCCCTCTCCCACGTCTCTGTATTTCTCCTTTTAAAAAGCAAAACCGTAAGAGTATGTCAGCTCTGGCTACTTTCCAAACAAGCGATTGTTCATTCAAGGGGAAGAGTACCATTAAAAAAAAAAAGAAAGAAAGAAAGAAAGAAGAAAACACACAAAACACAGCACAACCACCCCAGGACTGGTGGTTGGAAGTGCCACTATCCCCACAAATAGTTACCTGCAAGACAGAGAGGAGTCTGGATTCAAGCATGTCAGATGCAGTGAATAGTGGACACTGTGCTGTTGGGCTGCACATCGATACCCATCATCAAATATGTGTGTGAGTGGCCTGTGGCAGGTCTGTGTTGGACTGCACCTAATGGTGCGGTTGCATAGGCTGGCACCGTATTGCTGTACTGCAGTTTAGATTGGACTGTTGTGCAATTATTAAAAAATTGTCTCAAAAATACATTAATCTGCTTCTATTTCTGAATGCTACATAGTTGATGATTCATTGAAGTTGATCACTAAGCTTATATTTCATTTTCCGTAATTTCTGCATTCTAAAGGGAAGGACATTTGTTCTGTCTCATAGAGTTGGAGGGCAGTAACTGCTACATAAGAAAACTTTCAGGTCCCAAAACACATAGGTACCAGTGAATTATAGCTACTGAAAGACAGAACAGATGGTCAAATACATAAGATGAGGGGCTGCCTTTATACCAGCTAGCCTTAAACAAATGGATTGGGCTGTAAATAATTACTGCATGAAGTGGCTTAGAATTTAATTTAGATACTTAGTCTATTTTTAAGCAGTAAAAAGAATCATTTGCATTGTTGAAAATATGTATAATTTACTGACCTAGGTTCCACAAATAATAGCATAAAATAACATTTTAGTCAATTGGCCATCTGTTTTGTCACATTATTCTGACTGCAAATGTGTTTTAATGCTATTTTAGAGGGATACAGAGTGTAAATTTCAGCTTTGGAAGCATGTTACACAATAAACATTTCTAACCAGCAGTATAAGGCTTATAGAGTAAATATAGGGCTTATTTACTATTTTGTCCTCTGGATTGTCCCTCATTGTCTTCCTCATAGCCTATGCATCTTTTCATTGGCCCCCTCTTCAATTTTACTGCTCTACAACATCCCTTCAGTTTTATTTTTTTTTCACTTTTATGGTTTGCTGTGGCTTATATTCCAAACTACTAGGCCTGTACTTCACATATTGTCTGAGACTGGATTTTACCCTACAGCAGAATAGAGTCTGGTCATCTTCCTTTTCTATGATGATTTTTTTTTAATTGCCTTTTTTTGGTAAAAGCATAACAACCTAATGATTTTTACAACAGTTGGAATACTCGAGAGCACAGAATAAGTACTCCGATGAAATGGTGCTGGAGTCAAAACGTTTTTCTTACCAACTATATAGAGAACATACAAAATTTTCCAGTAGTAGTGACTTTTTCACCATCATACACCCAGGAACATGCAGAACTCCTGAGCTTTCAGAAGAAAAGATCCATTTTGAACGGTTGCTATAATGCTTGTTTTCTCTTCTTCAAATGCCAAACAGAAAATAGATCAGTTAAGACAAAATCTGTGAGATATCAGTACTGGATGACAAAGTAATTAGCTATGGCTTCTAGTTCTTTCATACCTTAAAGCAGGTTGAAATAGATATGATTAAATATTTATCTCATTTATCTATTATATATTTAACTCATACTAAAATACTGTTTACAGATTCATGACCTTGTTAAATTTTGAACTTTCAAGAGAATGAAAGCTGCATTTCCAAATTCAAGTAAGATGTTATATCCCGCCTAGGACCAAAAGATTTTTAGACATAGTTTTCTGCTTTATTAATTTAACAACATCTTAACAGATGGCCCTTCCTACTGCTGGTCATCTCAAGCAGGGATTTGACTTCATTAGATTGACACTTCCTCTGAGAGAGAGATTTTTACGTTAGGATATTTTATAGGCATGTCATCAAATCCCACTGTACAACTGTCTAGTAAACCAACATGCAATACCAAAACCCTCATAACTTTAGAAGAAGAATTCAAACAGGTCTGAGGTACTAAAAAGGCCAAGCTTCAGGTAGTTTCTCAAGAGATAACTAAAGACCTAATTTTGCCTGTAGAAAATCCTGACTCAGCTGGGACTGGAGCTGTTGTCTCACAACACCTGTGCTGTGCCTATTGGACTTCCCTTCCTATAATGCAAAATTTCAGTTTGTACCTGTAATTGCTTACTCATTTGCTTGCAACCAATATGCACCTGAACTAGGATGCTCAGGCTTCTGAAAGCATGCCAGCTCTTTTTATCCATTACATGACTTCCACGATAAACTCCAAGTTACGCGTTACTAGTTCAGAGACTAGGCTGTTCTTCCTCCACCATTCAACAACAAGGCAATATAGGACTGAGGCTCGTGGAAAGAAGTGGGTTACACCTATGGTTATAGACTTTCCAGGAGGAAATATTCCACTTCAGAATATTTGAAATTGCATTTTATCTTCAACACGTGATTATGCATGAACACAAACCAAACCTGACTAGTAGGTTTGACATTATTCCACCAATGTAATAACAGAAGAAAGGAGATCAGTATCTTTTTCTCTTCTTTTTATGAAAAAGTGATCACGTTCAAGGAAATAGCTAACAGCCTACTATAGGTCAAGTCTTGCACTTAGAAAAGAGAGTTTTATTTTTCCACTACAGTCAATTGCCAGTTTATTTTAGCATGTTTAGCTGTTAAACTCAGATTAAGACTTAAAGGTGGATTAAATGTTGATTAACTTTGTTTTTAGTAAAGGTAGTGTCTTCAGTAGAATTAAATGTATCAATCATAAGACTAGCCTAGGACATGATACGCACAGCTACGTGTAAGACAAAATTACTGCATATGTATAAAAGTACATATATATATATAAAAACATAAATTCAGCATGAAAAATTAAAATTAATAGTTCTTGATGATTCATCCTAATATACACTTTTTTCTAATGTAAGAAAAACATCAAAATGGAGGAAGCTAACATTGCAAGTGTATATAAAGATATCCTGCATAGAATGCTCTTTTGCCAGAATAGTCTTGTAATTCTTAGAAAAAGAAGAGTAATATAACAGGAAGTATTTACTATTCTGTTCGTGTAGTAATCTTCAGTGAGAAGAACAGTTGTTGGAGGGTTTGGGTTTTTTTTTTTGTTTTTTTTTTTTTGACAGGTCTGGGCATGAATTGGGAATAAATTACTCAACATAACTATGCAGTAGAAACTTAAAGGAACAGCTTTCCACTAGAGGTGGTATTTGACTATTTAATAGCCCTGATAGAATAACTGAATAGTTCAGCCACACAGAGAAGAGCTCAAATAAAAACTTTCCTTGTTGATTTAGTCTTATAGTTATCGGATTCAAAACTTGTCAGAATTGCAACTTCAAAAGAGGAGAGCAAAAATCAGTAATTCCTGAGGCAGGCTCAACATTATCTCTGAAGTAAACTGGCATTATCTTCTTGCTTTGAGTTACCACATATTGTCAAGACACTGAAATTAGAAGTTACTCCCTCTCCTGAAAAAAGCTAAGGAAAGTGCCTTTTAACTACTCCAATCTGACTGGAAAATTTTGGGAAAAACTATACCAATTGTCCCGTCAGTCCTGAATTTGCATAACAATTTGCATCAGGCTAAGCACACTTGCATTTCTGTTGCCGACACTGTGTCCCTTAACAGTCTTTCTGTTTTTTTCCCCCCGTTTCCCCCCCCCCCTCTAACTCACTGACACTCTCATGAAATAAATGATTTTTGGTCAACTGTTATGTAAGTAGTCCTGAAGGGAACATGTAACTGGTGAGGAGGAGGAGGTGACAGTTACTTAACTTTTACTTCTCTGAGTCACTGAGTTAGTTGTGGCTGTTGCTGCGTTGGTACCCTCCATTTCATCTCAACTGCCAAACACAGAAAATTTGTCTAGCCTGCCACACAGATAAGTTTGGAAATGTCAGAGTCTGTAGTAATTGTTGTTTATAGAGTATTGTTGCCGTGATATAGCAGCTGCTTCCACCTCTGAGCATTGGTATTTTAGAAAGGAAATACACATTTGCTATCTTACCACCATCTAACTTTCATAATTCTTACAACGCTCGCTTAGTTCTTACTTATGAGGACTTTCAGATGTGTGGAAGAAAAGCATGCTGTAAATGCAACATGTGATTACTAATTAGAAACAGAAATAGGAGATTCATTGATACAAATCATGTAATAGTTTCTGTGATCTTCTGAGATCATCACAAACCAACATTCAGCAGTTACCAAAAAAAAATGGAATAGTAAAAGGCATCTGTCCAAAGAACTTCCACTTTAAGTACATTTATTTTTTTCCTAGAAAGCATTTGATACTAAGCAGTGCCCTACTTTGACAGGTATGAAATAAACCTGGTTATTAATTTTCAATACTGATGGCAAAAAAATTAACTGCGCGTGTCATTCATTCATTAATCATTTCAAAATTAAATAACCAAATACAGCTCTTAGATTGCTTTTTGAAAGGATGTAAAAATAAATTAAAGTCTATTCTAGCAACATTATAAGAATAGTGACAACCCCAGTAAATCAGAGGGATTCTTATATCTCAAGTCTGTATTGTTAATTTAACAGGACTGACAAAATTACATTCTGTCCTTTAAAAAATAAATAGACAAAGCATAAAAAAATGTCAGTTCAAGGGAAGAAAACCTTAATTACTAACACTTGCAAAAAGAAATATTTTCATTTTGAAACATGGACATAAAATGTTGACACACATTTCCAGTCATAAAAGGCAATTTCAGATTCACTGTAGCCTCAATGAAAAACCCTACTGCTAAGATGCAATTACCTCCAGAATTGCAGCAGACATCCCCTCTGAAATGGAGCTATTCACCACAGCAAAGCACCTTTTCATAGCAGCATGAAGATCATCTTGTGGCATCTCCTGTAATAAATGTACTCCAGATGCCCTAGAAGTAAAACACACACAATAGGACACCTCCTAAGAACGTGCTCTAACAATTCTTGCTAAAACTCAGGGCAATGATGGAAGGTGGTCAGAGCAATTCAGGCATGGTTCTGATGCTAACAATCCCTTGCCCATGGGCAAGCCACTTTACCATGTTTTGGCTAACTTTCTGTCTATAAATGTGGTTATAAACCCAATACAGTATACATTGCTATCTGCCACTTCATTGTCTGTTGTTCTGGAGTTTCAGCTGATCACTTGACACCATGCTCTGTTAACCACAATCAGTCTCACAAATGAAGGAGCTGAGTTCAATGGATAGGGGTGCAATTTTCCCTTAGAGAATTTGTGCAATATAGGGAGGATGCATACAGAGATTTATGAAAAACACACAGTTTAAATACTTAGGGAAATGGAGTGTGATCATCAGAATGGTCAGCTGCAGGAGATGCTGGCTTTTGGGGATGGAATGTGGTTCTCAAAGACCTCTTCTGCTTCCTCTTTTATTAAAAGCACTCCTCTGTTCTGAATGGTTACATTTCTACTGTCCTCATTTTCTTCAGATTAATCAAGGTCAATCGAATCAAGAGTGAAGGGTAGAAAAATAGGGTAATTAGGTGTTCAGTCTCAGATGAAGTGAATGAGATCTTTAAGACTGGTGATCATTTTTGAACAGCCAGCATCTCCTCAGCTTGATGAGCCTGCTACTGCCTCCTTAACCTCAACATGAGATCACCAAGCCAGACGGAAACACAAGTGCACTTGACATTGAGACCAGCTCTCTGTCAGCTAGACTTTGTTGAACATTGCTTTTCTGATCGTGCAGTAACATCCAGCTTCTGTAGAGATAAATAACTATATCAACTGGAGTATAAATACATGACTAACCTGATAGAAAACAAAAAACATTACCTTTTGCTCCAAAAATGGAATTGCAAAATACATAATTCATGCAGATTTTATTATCAGGTATTATCAATCAGAGATAACATAGCTGTTCTATTCAAGTCAGACAATTCTAGGTTCTGCAGACACACAAAAAAATCTCGTTTCTCTAACATTTACATCCTTCAATCAGGAAGCATATAAACTAGGGACAGAAAAAAGCTATACAGGGTTATCTTGTCCATCTACTCATTTACCCACCAACCGCAAGCGTGCAAAGTCTTGCAGAAGCCAGGATGAAAGAAAGAATGAAGAGACGCAAAAGGGTAATAAATATAAATCACACTAAATCAGATGTGATTTAATACAAAACATGAAGAGATCTACTGGTTATTCTAAAATTTAAAATGTGTAGAATACCTAGTCTGAAAATGTTACATGCCAAATAATCAGAACACATTTGTTAGTCATTTAGAGAGTTGTGCATGTATGTTCATTGTATATCAAAAGAGCATTTACGCACATGATTTAAAAAGCTAGTCAGCCAGCTGCTTTTATTTGGAGCAGATAGAAGGCTTAACGTTAACTTCTTACCTTTTAACTTTTTCCTTAACTTCACTTGTAAAAAGTGGATCAACCTAGAAAGGAATACACACACAGGTATATGGCACTACTTTAGCACTATAGCATATGTTTGAAATAGTACCCAGAAAAGAAAAAGAAATTTTAGCACGTTTTTTACTAAAATATTTAAATGCATGAATGTGCTGAGCTTTAAAGTCATACCACAGATCTGTAACTTGATGGTTACATTTAGTCTTCAGACAAACACTCTCGTGAGTGATTGACATTTAGAATACCCAGCTAGGGGTGAGTGCACAGTATAGCAGAGCATGAATTGACTACTCCACTCTAAACCTTTAAGTCACTCCTCTAATGCAGCACAGCTTTGGCCTACTGTCAGAAGGGGAGGTTCCATTTCTTCTCCCCTGACATCCCTCTGGCTGCAGGTTCTAATTAGAGCAAGATCTATTTAACATGAATGACTGTTTTCAGATGACTCTGCTAAGGCTAACATGATTCAAATGATCGATTTGACAACTCACTGTCTAAGTGAGGAAGAATGCACTGATGTGCCAAGCAATTGTCTGTCCCTTTATGTATGGAGAAAGCAATGTGAGGAAGGAAAGGAACTTTTCAGGCTTTAGTTAACACAGGAATCTTCATGTAAACTGAGACACTGAGACAGATGTTATGAACTGATAGAAACATTTCTTTGAAAATTAATAAACGCAAAATGCTAAAATATAGTCTAACATGAAGGCATGTTAGAGTTATTAAAAAGTTGTCTAAGCTGGGCGATTAACTCCAGCAGGTTTATTTACAAAGCTTAACTATGTCTGCTATTTTCATTTAACATGATTAAAAGAAATAAACAGAACTTGGCAATCCTTAACGAGACATGCAGAACAGAACTAGGCTTTTTTAATTAAGGCTGACTGACTATATTAGATTAATTTATGATAGCTTGCACAGCATGCAGCAGTTGTAAGTACTGGGAATAACATGGCTTTTTTTTTAAAATACATGTTAATATTTGGGGTTTGGGTGGGTTTTTTTTCACATTATGAGATAGAAAACACTCACAAAGCATTTTAGAAAACTTTTGGAAGAAGGTCAGAATTTATAACTATGATTGTGTACTTTGAACACAAGATTAATTATTTAATGAAAACAGGGCTTCATAAATTAAAAGATTCAAGCAAATCATTCTTGCACTAAGGAATGAATTCCTACTGAATGCAAGAAATAAAAGGCTTGCATAACTGCTTAAGGAAGTGTTTTTGGTAACAGCAGGGGGGATAATCAAGTGCCCTTTCCTGAAGCACTATCTGATCCTGGTGACAGAGTATGATACAGATCCATACACTAAACCAGTATGTCATGTCGCAGGTTCCTTGGAAATTTCATACTAAACTCCACAATTGCTATCTCTATATAAATATCTTTTCAGCTTTTTCCCCAAAGTACTATTTTGATGCTGCGTTCCTTTCATGAGGAACTATACTCTGTTGCCATTAAAATCAATGGAGTACTTGCAAGTGATTTAATGAGCAGTGGGATATGGTCTTTTGCTCTTCTACCTTTAGAAAGATGAGAAAAACTACAGCCTGTGACTCATAAAATTTGTAAGATACTAATTTCTATCCCATATTCTTCTTCTTTGGAAGCCAAGAAATTGCCATCTGCCTCACAAACAGAACAACCCTTTAAGCTGTATTCTTCTATTGGTAGATATTCCAAGAAGCTTGGCCTGAATATGAGAATTCAGTTAAAATATTACTTTCAGGATGGGTGTAGCAATGACTTAGAGAAGTGATCTCCCTGAGCTACATTTAGGAACTTGAGGGGGCACAGTTATCTAACCACAGGCTCAATATAACAGAAATTAGATACAACGTAAGCTGTTCAGTAAGTTGGAAATGCACTTAAAAGATATGAATGCTTCCAAAGCCAAATGACTATGGCAGGGTGCCTAAGAACTTAGCTCAGTCTCAGAAAAACCTACTGAAAAGAAAATAATGTTACTTCCACCCAAAATGTCTCCATGATCCGTCTCTTCTACAAGTAGAGTGTTTGTTGCCACGTTTTATTTTGTTACCTATCAACATAGCAGGCAAATATGATCATCAGTTACCTATCACCTTTTGTTAGAAAATCATCCATCCAGAGGAAGAGCCTTCAGAAAGCTGCAAACTTCATCAATTTAGCAGAGATTAGAGGAAAGCAGCTTGCATTGTATGAATAGTTTCTATCAGAACAGATAAGATGACACATGGAAAGGGGAGTGGGCACACAGCAAAAACCCACACCTAACAGGACCAGATATGCTATTAAGGAAGTTCTACTCTGCTGACAGGCAACGAAACATCTGAGACATGTCTGACAGTGCAGAAAGTCACAGATCAAACACTGCAGAAAGATGAAGGTGCTTGTTAAGCACAGGGCCTACCATGATCAAAATCTAGGAAATCTTCTATAAACATACTATATTAAATTGCTGCCATATAAAAACTAACTCAGACAGAAGCAATGGCCCAGAAACATCTTCATTATAATGCTGGCACTACTGTGGCCCTCTAGATTTTGAAAAAAAGGAAAAACAGGTCTTAGTACATTTACAGTTCTGTCAGAATATCACCCAGAGTACTTAAGAGTGAAAAGCTGTATCCACAAGCATATTCAATATGGATAGGAAGAATTTGTCAATTGCTTGGGTTTGCGAGCTTTTGACAGCATCACTGTGAAAGGAATCAGCTTTATTCACAGCAGCAGGTGACCCCCACATTACAATTTTTATCTGATTGATTGTTGAATAGGCTTAGCAAGACCAACCTTCCCCTACAACTGAAAATACAACTGTTGTCTGCAATGCAACACAATCTGCCTGCAGCAAATGCACTAGAAATGTAAGATCCTTGCAAACATACTAAACTCAGACATTCTACATCATCTTTTCCATATACTAAATGCTTAAGGAAATTCAGTGTCTTCTGGCTTAACATGTAGCTCTACTACTGCAATTTGGGATAATTAACAACTTGTAAAAAATACAGTTTTAATTCAGATTAAATAATTTGGCAACTAGGTTCTAAATTAACAAAACCTCAGGTCTAAAAGAAAAATTTATAACCTTTTTAAGAAATATTAGAACAGCTCATTTCACCATTTCTAACAAAAGTTTTATTTTCAGGGAGGTTTTCTTGAAGAACAAGCAAACAAAGGGTGAGAAGAGTTGTCAGCTTAATGATAACAGTAGCTCTTACCTTTTAGAAAATATCTCAGTGAGTAGGATGCTTATTCAGGATGTAGCTGGCAGAATCATATTCCTCAGTAGGCTAAAGAATTTGAAATTGTACCTTTGTCTCCTATCTGATTTTCCTAACTATTGTGCTCTAGAATATTCTGGAGCAGGTTATTAGACTTCCTATGGTTTGCTTAGTTTAGTTGCATCAACAGCTGTTTCATTTTAGAACTAGCCCAGAAAACATACAGTATGTAACAGTCATCCATTATAAAGAGATGGGCTACATGACCCCATAGGTCCCTCCATCTGTGGAGGCAGTTATTCAGCTAAAACTGTCTCAATAAGCATGGACAGAAGTTGAAGAGAGGAAAAATAGCTGTCAATGGAAAACAGTATCATTACAAACACAGCAATATCCTCTACTGTCTACAAGAAAGGTTAAGAATTATGCAGAGAGTACAAAGTGGGCTTCAAGAGATTACCCAATAGCTGAATACAAGTTTTGTGGCCCTAACTTCTTTGAAGTTTCATAAGTTTCTATTCTTAGAATAGAGAGCTGCTGAAAATTAAGTATAGTTTCAAATTTCATTATAGAAAAAAACAAAAGGAAAACTGGAAGAGGAGATAAATGCTAAAAATTCTACATTATACAGGACCCAATCCTGCAACATTACTTAGATTGCACCATTTGAGAAAATCATGCATAGCAAATGAAGGGAAAATGTTATAATCTTACAGAAGCAAAGCAGAAAATAGTGTGTGGGCTTTTGTTCCTTATATTCTTAATTAATATAAACTTAATGTGTGTTTTTTTAATATTCACAATAAACATGGTTCGCTTCACAGATAATGGCACTGATTTGCTTTAGATTTTGTGGTTTGAGAAGTAACATGAATAAGAAAAGTACAGTTAAATACCAATAGAGCTGAGATATATTTTCATCCTTTAGTAATATTTTAGTACTATGGGAGAAATATATTTTTAAATGTTTTAAGGAGGTTCAGTCCTTGATCCTGCCTATACACTGCCACAGGGTTATTTCTGGTAGCTCACTGTAAAGATGTTAGCTTATGAAAAAGTGAAGCAAATTTAAACAGACGACTAAAATGTTTAAAATCCTCACTGGAGGCAGCAAGTGCATCTTCTGATTCTAAAGCACAGCTTCATTACACCTGCTCTAGATTTGCCTTCCACACCAGTTCACTTCCAAATCATTTTGTGTATCAGCATGGAAAAAATGCAGATAAAATAAAAATGTAAAAACAGCTTTTAAAAATAAAATCCTATGTCCCAAAATTTATGAGGAACAAAACTGAATGAGAAAACAGAAAAATAGTTCTTATTTGCCCATTCAGATTCTATTTATTTTCTTATAAAACAGACTGCCTGCAAGTTTTCAGGCTCATGTGAAGATGAATCAGAGATGAGACTTATAGAGGGACATGAACACATTACCCAGATGAAACAGTGAAGCTTTTAGTACCCTTTTAGCATCAGCAAGAGTTTGTTTCATATGACAGCTGCCTACTCGTACCTTTTCCACTAGTTAGATTAAGGCTACAGGCTGCCTTTTCAAGACTTCTGCTGCTACGGATATACATGTAGCACAACTGATTTCTTTCTCAGAAGTCCTGCAATTAGTTTTGTTAGTTTAGCGTAAAATATTTTCCCTTGACATGGGCAACATACTAGAAGCAGAAAAAGAAGGACAGTCTCCCTGCAGCTCCACCTGGTCCCTGTGCAGGGATATGGGAATCTGTGGGAATGAACCTCATTTTGCACAGAATTAGGAGAATCACTTCAGTGACTCAGAGGTGTCTTTCCCCCTCTCCCTCACCAATTTACACTGCAGTTGCTACTGTTGAGGATCTGGCCCACAGCAAGTACTGTGCTAGCAAATATTTACATAGGGCATTGGTTAGACTGGGATTTGGGAAACATTCATCTTTTTCTCATGGTTCTGAAAATAACCATGCATTTTGTAGTTTTGCACTTTTTCGGCACTGTAATTAACAGGAATTGTAACAACATTTACATGTTCGTGGCTGGTTCCTTTCCAAAGGCCTCAGTTTCTGCAGGTGAAATCAGACAGATCTCAAAGTGGAAATAACTGGAAACAACGGTGGATACTCAAACACCAAGTTTTAAGAGATCATTAGAAAAGAAAGGAATGCCAGAAAATTTATTCAACCCTTTACTCCCTTTCAAGCATTCAGAACAGACTCACTTGGCTGAAGTGGTGCCAGAGAAGTTCAGTCTGGTTACTCCCTCAAAAATCATGCTACTTGATTTAAAAATGATGGGGTGGAGTTGCAAGGATTCAATAGTTTTTCTTGTTTATCTTCATGCTTCATAAGCCCACATTTTCAAAACTTTCTCCGCAACTAGAATATTACTTCGTAACAAAGACTGTGATAGTTTTGATTTTTAACTCTTTCAGGAGTTGGTGCTTCATGAAAAGCAAACCATTGCTGAGAAACTCATGACAACATTTTGAGATGGCAACCCAATTGTACATTTTAGAGAGATACATAAAGACAGTTGGCAATCACAGAAGAGCTGCCATTTAATTGATTGACCCTATTGTGAAAAGATAGAATTAGCAGCTGTAACTTCGAAATTTGTTAAACAGGATCTTTAAGACTTAGGAGGAAAAGTGAAATCTCACATTAATATTGGCCAGCCCTTTTACTTAAATACATACAATTCATTTGGAAGGAATGATACCACCTAAAAGCTTAATCTGAGATGTGGACGTATAAAAACAACTCCATTTCTGATTTTACTTATTTTAGTCAACCCCACCTTCTCTCTCATATATCTGTATCCCAGGCTTTAGTGCACTCAGATTCTAAATGTGAAACAGACTCCACCAATTTTATTTGTCAGCTCAAGCTCTGTCCTTGCTGTCTGGTGTCAGACAGAAACCTAACATCATTTTGCACTTGCTGACAACTGTTAATTGTGTACAAATTGCGACTACCAGAAATGGCATCAAAATCTAAATGGAATGGAACAAAGATGCAATCTTCCACATGAACAGAAGATGTAAGAACAGGGATAATGAGCATTTGATATCACCTTCACAGTATTAAAAATCCTCATTAACAACACCTGCTAAAAAAATTCTTCTAGATGGCATCTGTTGTCCTTCAAAATATTGATAGGCTTGTTTATAAATTATTCATATTGAAATAGGCATTTCTAATATTTTATTTACAAGAGTTTACATTTTTAGTACTTTCTGAGTCTTTAAACAATTTTGTACTATCCCACAGGTATCAAATCTTAGAATACTAGAATCCAAATATTTTGATACTTTTTATCTTCAAAAGTTATTTCTGTAGTCAAATGAAACACTTTTGTTCCAAGAGACCATAATAGATTAATAGTATCATCAAGTCATGTGCTTGAGCTAGACATAAAATGATAGTAATCCAGCTGCAAATGCCCTTTATAAAACTAGCCCAAGCCTTCTAAACAATCAGTATATGTAAAGCAAACCTACAGCTGCTGTAAACTATTTTAGTGCTCTTGATAACAGTTTGCATTAATAAAAACCTAACTGAATAGAGCTGCTCTCCCTCAGTGCACATCCTCTTAGAAAAACCCTCTTAGCTGCTTTCCCTTTTGCAATGCAAAAGCAGAGCACATGCTGAGTGACGATGTCTTTTAGCTGATAGCAGAACTCTGAACTTTGAAAGTCCAAGCACTGGAATCACTTCCACTTCCAGAGTTTAGACCTATTGTGAACAGCCTTTACAACTGCCAGGTTTGTACCTTCTTATCTCTGTAACAGTTAGAAGTCCTCTGACTTAGGTTCAGTTTGGAAAGAATTACTGCGATATCTCAGATGGGAGCAAATGGAAGTATTTAGGAATAAACATACAAATAAAATAAAAATTACAACAACAACTTACTGCAGGTCCAATTATGCCCAGATGGACACTGGGATCCTTTCTGTGCCAATCTAAAACAGAAGAGGAAAATATTTTTTTATTATTCAAAATTATTAATTTTTAATTCTCTCTCTGAAATCAATGTAAATAGCTGCATGAACAAAGACGAATTAGGCAAACATTGTACTACTACTAAAAAGACTGAATGTGTACCAGATTTCATGCTCAGCCCTCACATATCTGAAAGTTAGTATTTAGCATTTCTGCTTCATGCAATCTCTTAGGATTGAAGGTTTGTTTAACTAAGTTCCGATACTAATTTTTAATCATCTCAAGAGAACAATGCTGTATATAATGCAGTGACTCTGGCCACTAAGACAAAATTGTTTTAATTTCTTCCTATGTAAAGGAACATGTGGAAGCAACTACAACCGTTACAATAAATACTCACTTATATGCACAAGAGAAACCTGCTGCTCTTTCAATACCAGAATAGAACAAAACCAGTAACTTGACTTTAATAAACTACACTTGTTACTAAGCATCACAAGGTGGTAAAGGCTTATAAAAGTAAGCTGAATAGTGGAGGCTAAATTTCCAACTTGGAATACCTGAACCTTTTACAGACACAAACAGAACCCGGCAAAACATTCACCTACATGAGAAAACTTCAGCCCAGTTTACAGTGTTGAGTCAGAACAATGGGTGGTAAAATTTGCTTGTAACTTTGATGATATTAATTAGCACGCATGCAAATCAGTGTAACAGCCATGGGACAGTAACACAGAAAAGTTATTTTGAAGTAGGTGAACTCTTCTTTTGTCTTCCATTAATATTGTGTGTAATAGTAAAACAGTTTTCCCAGCAAGTAGAATCATGAAAGATTGCTTTGATTTTAATGCTGTTATTCCCAGCAGGCTGGAACAGATGCAGTACAGAAATAAGGTGTTGAACAGATCAATGGCTATATCAGCATTTCTTTTTTTAAATGTAAATACATTATTAAGTTTTCTGCAATTAATAAAACAGCTTATGCCAAACTTATAAACATTAAAAGAAATGCATCTGAATCCAGGGACAAAACAAGAGTATTCAAATAGCAGGTACCTACCTGAAAATATATCTACTAAATACAGAGGGTCTTTGACTCTTCGAAGTCCGCATATCAAAAGAAACACACGTAAACTGCCTGTATCTGTAGGAATGTCTGTAACAAATAATTTAAAAAGTCTGAATGCTGATAAAAAAGCTGAACACCAAATTGTTTCATGAATGAGCACATACAGTGGTAAAAGCAGTAATAGGGTGGATTCTGAAAAATTCTTATTATTGTTCCCTCTATTACTTGCTCTTGCATCAATCCTGAAATCAACTCAGTGGAGAACTTAATCATGCAGATCATTTTATAGGGCATACGAGTTTATTTCCAGAGGCAGTGAATGTGCAGCATGTAGAGAAAAATCTGGTCGTTGGCATTCTTGAATACCAGAACCCAGCTTTGACTGACTAGGCAACTACTATACAAATCAGTGTGTTTCTCAGTATTTCTACTCATAAGAAGAATACATTTGCATCCATATAATGACTCAACACCTATTTCAAGGATATTGTGAGGTTTAGTTAATCAATGGCTGTAAGGATTCGAGCTCTTGATCTGACACTTTTTGTTATAAAAGATTAGGTAAATGTCCCACAGTCACCTACTCTTAATATGCCAGCACTGCGACAGAATAATTAACTAGAAATTAAATTATTGCAAAGCAGTTATTTTAACCTTATTGCTAAGAAGCACAGATGAAAAATAATTTAGGAAAAAAATCTCAACATGGGAGTTTTTAACATTGCAAATACACAGCAACAACCCATAAAAATAATTTTGTAGGCTGTGTTACAAAAAGAAAATCTGATGTATGATATTGCAGTTGCCATTGGCTCTATGACAGCACAATTAATTCAGAACATACCTTTGGAGAAGGGTCACTATGTGATGAACTTTGCTAAAATGTGTTTATGATAAAACAACATAGTTCATGAATTGCTGAATGAACACACATAACAACAACATAATTTAATAAACACTAGAGGGGTTGAAATGTTCACGTTTGATTTACCGTACTGAACAAACCAGTTTGCTGTCCTTCAGATCACCTATTTACTGAGCTCACAGCAAGGATGGATGACACATATTATCTCACACTTGGCAGTTCAACAAGGAGCATCAAACTGCTGCTCTGGAGCAACAGGCTGTTTGTGGGACATTAATGCATGGGTCCCACACCAGGGCTATGTCGAACAGCTACCAGGAGTACTATGCTGCATGGTCAGAATGACTGTCTGCAGGGTTTATGGTTAGCAGAGGAGGGCAGCAGGACAGTTGTGGCACTGTCAGCTGCTGCTGCTGAACGCTGCAGAGCTCCCTTCTCTGAGGCCTCTTCCTCCTCCCTTTCCTTTCCACTCTCCACCAGCTGCAGGAACAACTCAGCTGCTTATCCAGCATCACTGAATTGCTGCAATTTGTAATTTAAGATCACTCAAACTTGGTACCAACTTACGTTTCCTCATTGTGTTGTATAACTTAACTGCAGGGTCCTCTCCAGGCCCTGGAAGAAATATCTCCCCTCATGTCAAGGAACTGGATTAACATGAGCTCTGCTCTATTTTGTGGGAGGGGGAGAATCAAAAGAGTGGTGATTCACGACATACTCAAGTGCTATTGCTTTTAAATTTAAAATCCAGTTCAGGGACTTTTAAATGCTCCCTGTCACAGGGTTCCATTATTGAGTTTGTTTCATTTAATTTAAACAGCTTGAGTTGTCAAGAGTGGCTGCAGCAGCACAAGAAATAATTTGTAATTTATAATACACAAACATTTGGATTGAGAAAGCCATTCTTCTGGTGCAATGGGCCATTAATACTGTTTGTTTTAAGACATGCAGCAGTGGTTTCAATTCATGACATAAACTCACACTAGAAAGTGTCAGCAAAATTCAGATTGCATTTTAACTATACATATGGCACAAATATTAATTTCAAATTATGAACTCCCACCTATTGATGTTGAGCTGTGGCTATTTTGGAACAAACTTAAAGTTAGCATTGAAAGCTCAGTTAGGCTCTAATGACAAACCATGTCTATAGAATTATTGCAGCCTTGATGTGACAGTACCCTAATCAACATTAACCATGCTTGAAATAACTGCTTCTTTTTATCTCTTAACATCTTTTTGTTTCTATCTTATAGCTTTCAGTCATTTCATTTTATTAGATAAGGGTTTAAAGTGCTCTGACAATGAAAAGCCATAATAGACTTATTCTCTGCAGTCCTGACTGCCATTCTGCTCCCCGTAAGAAAACATTAACAGGGAACTGGCCCCACAGACAGTAATTGCACTTTGTAATTTGGATTTTGCCATTAAGTTCCTGTGGCACTAAAAGGTACTTCTCCCAAGAATCTGACCAATAAGAGTCTAATTATTCCACTAGTGAAATTACCTAAAATAATATTTATTAATGAAAATAGCCCACTTATTTGACCTTTATTATTTTGAAAAGACATTCACAACCTTGAACTCTCAAGGCAGGTTATCCCTTTCAAGTAACTTTACAAAGCCCTACTTGTCTATCATGAAATTTTATGCACTTTTCTCTGAAATAGCGACTATTGAGTACACTGGACTACAGACTGGATCCTACATGGCATTTCTAAAAACTGTCATAGAAGGGCTAGTCAAAAAAGGATCTGCCTCTGCCATTCAACTCAGTGAAGTGAGAACCAGTTGTAGTTTTATTTTATCATATGCTGTAGAACTTAGTCATCATTTAATTCGTTCTTACAGGCAGACTTTCCTCACTCAATCCACTTAGAAGCACAGACTTTCCTGAGAAGACTGCATTACCAGCAGATCACTGCCACAGTTTAGTGCTAGGAGTTTACGTTTTCTCTGTCTACTTAAGATCAAACTTCAGCAGCACTTGTGTATCTTGTTAGCTTTCTGCTCTTTCACTGAAAATGGTTAAATTCACACATCAAGATGATGCCTGCATCAATGTTTTCCCACCTGTTGCTTTCTCAAGACTTGCTAGCACCCCTGCTGTGGAAAAAACAAAAAAAAAGGTAGCCATTTTTACAAGAAAGCAATCATTTTAGTATGCTTTGTCCTCACAAGAACGCTGGAAAGAGGAACATATTATTAAGAGAATAACCGCAATAGCTGCCTTTACCAGCTATAACCATCAGCTGGGTGAAAACTGGTATTTGAAAGAAGACTTTTTTTTTCTTTTTCCATGAGTTCAAACAGGACTTTCAGTATGTGAATTTTTGCTATCATTCTGCCTTTCCCAGATAGGCTACTTAATCTGTAGTAAGATACAACCGCTTCATGTGATTCAGTTCTACATGCATCAATATGGCACAATCAACTGATTTGCTCCTTTGATACATTCACTGTGTCGCTGTTTTGTTTGAATGACATGCAAACACCCAAATAACAAAAAAATGCTTGTGTCTGTTTCTCCCCATTTCTGTTAGTGAAGCAAAGCAAAGATTTGAAGCAGCACACTGTGCTTCATTAGCTCTTAGCTCATGCATCCTTCTGTTTGCTTTGCAAAGAAAATACAAAATGTAAAGCTTTGTACATAATCACTGGCGACAAAAAAAAAGACTGCATGGTACATATTTTCCAGCCATCCTTCAGAATCACTTTACACTAAATGCAAGTCAGGTCTTGCCACTGTAATCAATGTCTCCTTCAGTGTCAAAAATAATTGTTTAATGTCAGTAAGAGTTGCTCCTTTAAACATGCGTTGTCAGTATTTGTCTATGGCTGTAGTCTGATTCGTTACATTGGCTTTATCTATAAAAAACAGCTGCACATTGGCCACAGCCAGTCTTGAGCCTGCTTAGCAGGTCACCTGTTTAGCAAGATGTGAGAGGTCAAAACAAGAACAGTGATTGACAGGATTATGAAAAATCATTCCTCTCATCAGCTTGACAGCATGCTGTCCTGATATGTCACACAGGACCACAGGGATGGTAACAAATGAACTGCAGGTGAGCTGAAACGAGACAGACAGAGTGGAAGATTAAGACTGACATGGAACTCCAACAGTCATGCAACTCCTTTTTCATGATGGAACAGAGGTGGTATTATGCTGCTCAAAATTGAAACACAGCAATGTAGCATTGGCACTTAAAATTTCAGAGTGGAACTGCATGATCAAAAGGGTATCCAACTGCTGTGCCAGTGTATTTGTTGACAGTATTGGAACCTGGCACAAAATACATTTGCTAATAGAAGAAATGTGATTAATACTCAGGATTCATGTTCTCCTGATGGCTGTGATTCTGAGTCATGGCATGGCCTAGAGAAAGTTTGTCAAATCTAGACTTTTCCATCTAGACTTACCCATTCATCTGCAAGCAGGTTTAATAACTGCTTGACATGAAGCAACGACACTGGGCTTAACCTTTGGTAAACTGCCTTCAATTGCAAGACAGAGTGAGAGAATGGAGTATATTAAAAGTGGAAAACATTTTCCTAATGCAACACTGAAAATAGGCAGTTTAGTATTTAAGATTCCATCGGCTCCTAATTTGTTCCTTATCTGAAACTGTGTAACTCTTTGTCACATCAACTATTTTACTATTATGACACATTATGATAGTTTACACTTTGGCCTTTATAAAAATCTGTACTTAGACGCCAGGATAGCAAAACATGAGCACAGACAGCTAACACAAAAGCCTAAATTGTTTCTGAAGCATTAGTAAGGACATTGTTTTTCGAAGAAAGGCAAGCGTAAGTAGAAGTGTTATCTAAACAGATTTTGAAAGAGCAGATTCATTTAACTCCATCCCTCTAGGTGCTCTCAGGAAAAACTGTAGTAATCGTAAACGTACACTAAAAATAAATATCTTACTGCAAATCTCTAATCTTACTGAAAAGCTGCAGGCCTCTAAGCGAATGAGTAATATCAAGCATTAGCTTGCTGAGAGGTAAAGAAGCAGTTTGAGAACATCTTGAGAAATTTTCTCACCACTTGCTCAAATAAAGAAAATTAAAATATTTTTCTTATTTAAAAGTCTTTACTGTGCTTTTGATGGGCATTTTTGAAATCTCTAGAGAGGAGAAAAATATAAAAAGGAACAACGTGATTTTGCATTCAAAGTTATTATTTTGGACCTGAACCAACAATCTCACAAAGCCA